CTGAATGGTCTTGGCACCCTTGTCAAAAATCATTTGACAATATATACGAGGGCTTATTTCTGGGCTCTCTATTCTATTCCACCGGTCTATATGTCTGTCTTTATGTTAGTACCATATTATTTTGATTACTATAGCTTTGTAGTAAGTTTAAAAGTTAGGAAGTATAAATCCCCCAGTTTTGTTCTTCTTTTTCAAGATTGCTTTAGCTATTTGGGTCCCTTGAGACTCCATATGAATTTTAGGATACGTTTTTTTCTGTTTTCACAAAAAAGTGTCATTGGGATTTTGATAGGGATTGCATTAAATCTATAGGTCTCTTTGGGTAGTAGCAATATTTTAAAAACATTAAATCCTCCAATCCATGAACATGGGGTATGACTTCATTTATTTATGTCTTCTTTAATTTCTTTCATCCATGTTTTCTAGTTTTCATTATACGTGTCTTTCACCTCCTTGGTTAAGTTAATTCCTAAGTATTTTATTCTTTTTGATGTTATTGTTTTTGTAATTATCTTTTCAGGTTGTTCATTGTTAGTGTATAGAAATACAACCGATTATCATGTGTTGACTCTGTATCCCGCTACTTTGCTGAATTCATTTATTAGTACTAACAGTTTTTTTTTTTTGCCTTAAGGATTTTCTATATATAAGCTTATGTCACTTTTTTAAGCTCATATAATTTTTAAAAAGTCTTTAACTGAAGGTTTTTTTAGGTAAATTTGATCATTCATTACAACTCTCATAAGAATTTTGAAGACAAACCAGAACTCAGGGGTGTGGGGGAAGCAAGACCTAACAGAAACTCCCTATCTTCTAGATTTGAGATCATCCATGAATTATACAACAAATCATAATATATTTTGAAGATCTAAAACCCCAATCAAATTTTGGTTTTCAGCATCTGAGACAACATTATGAGGAAGGAGAAAGGTGGAAGTGTTTATATGTGTGAGAGTGTATAAGCCTGAAAGAGCTACACAAACATGTTTATTTTCCTCAAGTCAACACACCCTCTCCCAGGAGACTTCTAACTGACAAAGGGGACTTTTAAGGCAGAGAAGAAAAGCCAAACAGAAGGGACCCATATGGATTTCTGGGTTTTAATAGAGAGCCATGCAATCTTGAGGGCCAGATGGGATACTAATGTGAAAAAAATTCAATAATGACTTCAACAGAAATTGCTGTGGGAAAGGTCCTAATCCAGCTCACAGCTAATTATGATTCTCAGTAAGCTGGTGAATCTGCTGCCCAGATCAGAATATTATGTGCTAAGCCTAAACATTCCAGGGAAACATATTACCTCTCTGAAGTTAATCATACTTCTTTCAGGGGCCAGAATTTAGAGGTTCATTCAACGAAGTTTGTTGACGCCTCGAATGAGCCACACACAGATCTCAGGGCTAGAGATCTGGCAGTGAACGAAGCCCCTGGTGCGTGGAACTTTCATGTAATTGGAGGAGATAGACAATAGTTGTATAAACCTGTCCTATGTCACGAGGGGCAGTACTGTGAAAAGCAGTCACCCACGAGATGGATGGTAAGGGGGCGAGGTGATACATTTGTTGATTAGTAGGAGGGGCCTCTCTGATGAGCTGACATGTGGGCAGAGACTGAATGAAGTGAGGAGGGGAAGAGCTGGGGCAAGAGCATCCTATACTTCTTCCTATGTCACAGCAGATGTTATGTAAGTTGAGGATAACAGGTGCTTATAAATAGCAATTTATCAACTTAGTGATCCTCTGAATTTGTTTTACGATGATTGAAAGGACTAAAGGAAGTAGAATCTGGTGAGTTTACTGCATTATCTAGTCTAGTGGTTCTCAACTGGGGTGATTTTGCCTGCCAGGGGACATCTGGCAATGTCTGAAGACATTTTGATTATCGTAACCTGGGGAGGGGGGAGGGAGAGGGTACTACTGGTATGTCCTGCATAAAGGCCAAAGATGATACTAAATATCCTACAGTGCATGGAATAACTCCATACAGCAAAGAATGAATGTGCCCAAAATGTCAGCAGTGCCGCTGTTGAGAAACCTTGATTTGGTCCCCAGGCAGGATGCCAGGCCTCTGATAAGACTTGAGGGCAGGAGAAGTTCTTTCAAAGAACCTCATCAAGACATCTGGATATCTGCAAACAGGGTAGATCCAAGGCCTCTGGAGTAACCTTGGGGCATCTGCTCCAAGCTTGTTGACAGACTTAGTCAGATGGTTTCAAAGCCACCCAGGTATTTATTCAAGCAACATTAAATAAATGTTTCCTGTATGCCTATGGTTTAAGAGAAAGTAAGGATACAAGATGTGGTCCCTGCCATCAAAGACTTTATAGCCTAGGGAGGATGGAAGTATGAAGACAAATACCTGCAATGTGACAAGGCCACAATGGGTAGAAATCAGATGATGTAAGGGAAAGAAATCAGATAATGTTGGCGTGACCCAAACAGGTTTAACATATGAAGTATCATTTGAACTGGGCTTTGACAGTGAGTAGGCTTTAGACAGAGAGGGAAGGAGAAGATCTGCTAGGTAGAGGGTGAGATGTGAAAACAGGTAAAAAGATTGGGAATAATAATATTAATAGCAACTGACACCTAGTAGATCCCCTCTTGTATGATAGGTGTGGTGCCAAGCACTTTATCATGACACACAATTGTAGTCTAACCTGAAAACTGATAGACATGTAAGTACCAGCTGAAGCCTAGCATCACCCAAAGTAACGTGAATTCCAATCTTACCCATCTCAAAAAGAATGAAACACAGGGAGTGTTACCTGGGGTGAGTTGCATAAATACCGAAGAAGTTCACCAATATACTGAATGACAGTGACATTATATTTTCTGCAGTCATCCCAAAACTGGCTGGCTGAAAATTTGTTCCGCAAAACAAGAGTAGCACCTACAGAGAAGTTGTATATAAAGTGTTAAGGAAGAAAGGCTATTAAAAAACTCTTTGGTTATATTTGTCATTTTTGAAAGGTAGAAATTTAAATATGAATTATATTCACAAACAAGTCTGAATATTGCTTATCTTCAAAACAAAAATCAATAAGACATGGTTTTATCCTACAGAGGCTTTCAATCTAGTGGGGGAGAGACACATGCTGATATCTTTCTAATAAAATTCAGTGTGCAATAAATAGGAAGTTCAAATGAATCCCTAAGGGAATGTGAATGAAGATGTGTGCATGTGTGTGTATTAATTCTACTTGGGGTAAGGGCTGAGAAAGGCATATTTTGGAAGAGGTAGGATGTGAATTATGTCTTGAGCAATGATTATGAAGAAAGATGAGAGAATTCCAGGCAGAGGAAACCATGTGAAACATAAAGACAGGGCAGTTCAGAAGGTGTGGGAAGATAGCCAAGACTCAGTTGGCCTGTGACTGGAGTGGTGAAGAGTGGGTGAGTCATGGGAGCGGAACCTGGAGAAGCAGCTGAGGGTGCCATCATGGAGAACTTGGAAGTGCCAGATGGAAGAGTGAGACTTAACTCTCCAGGCAATGGAGAACCAGGGTCTTGAGCAAGTGGGAAAATTGTTCGTTGATGAGTGAGGTAGACATAATGGTTCCCAAAGATGTCCCTGTTCTAATCCATAGGACCTGTGAATATGGTCCCTTACCATGGCAAAAAGACCTGTGTAGATGTAATTAATTTCAGGATTTTGAGATGGGAAGATCATCCTGGATTACCTGGGTGGGCCCAATGAAATCATAAATGTCCTTATAACAGGAAGGCAAGCAGATCAAGGGCAGAAGGACATGGGATGATGGAAACAAAAGGTTGGAATGATGTGTTTTGAAGATGGAAGAAGTAGCCACAAGCCACAAGGCAGGCACCTTGATTTTAAGATTTCTGACCTTCAAAACAGAATAAAAATCTGTTACAATAGTGATAGGAAATGAATATAATGGGTAAAAATAATATATATCAGACCCAACCTAATTCTAGGCAGGAAATGTAGTAAAGTGAAATAAAAAAACTCACAAGTATTTTTTCATGCTATTAGTTTAGCTTTACTCCTAATTATACAAAAGTCCGATGTTTTAGAAGAGGAAACACTTTTCTAAACACTATTTTTTTCCTTCTTTAGAATGTATCTGTGGTGCTTAAGCAAATGTGTGAGCAATGAAGTTTTCTCTTTGGGAGCCTCAGAGTCCCTCTGGCCTTGAAGAGCCCCGCTATATGATCAGGCCCTGTCAGTCATTCCCGGCCAATGTGGAGGTGGGTACTGATGCTGGGGTAAGTATTTTATAGCTGATCAATAGGTTGATGAGGGAAAGACACAGAGGCTTGGGCCATCACACATGCATATATATATATATGTATGTGTATATATGTTATCATGTATATATAAAATATGTGTTATTATATATATGTATATACATATGTGTATATAT